GATTTTCAATACCCTATGTTCACGAGCAGGATTTTCATTCCGATTTTATAAAAAATAATACGTTTAATAAATTTAATAATAATAATAATAATAATAATAAATAGTAATAATAATAGTAATAGTAATTATTACATGATTAGTCTTTGTCAAGGGTGATAATAGGACAACAAGAATACAAGATATTTATTTGAATGATAGCATTACTTAATAGTTGCAGTATATCAGGTATGTTTTTGTATTATATGTAGACATTCCGGGGTTAGTTTTTTTTTTATTTATTTATTATCTGTTACTAGGTATTCTCGTGGTATAATTCAGTACTGGTTGGGGTGTATAGCTCATAGAGTAGTTTTTTCCCGCGATATTAGCAGTTGGGGGGGGTCTTATCTGTTGGGTTAGAAATTTTTTCCATACTTAGGTTTTTGGTACCGAAGAATATTGTTTAACTTCATTTAATAAGATTTTTTATAAAAAGGCTTTGAATTTGTTTGAATTAGCTCAATATCTTTAAAATAGAAAAAAACCTTCTACCTGGCCAATATTATTCAAATGTTTCTTGAGTGTCTCCAGTTACTTAACAATCTGCTGTAATCCTTATTGAATGACAACTGTGGGCCAGTACATTTCGTGTCGATTCCTACCCTGTTGGATTGTCTTTGTTTATAGGTTTCTTGTAACTATTTTTCTTATCTTATTCTTTTTGTTATTCTTGCAGCTGCAAAAAAATATTACAATTGCCTATGCCTCTTGTATTGGCTTTTCATTTTTTCCATTAATTTCTAAAAGTCTTTGAAATATGAAATTTCTCCGTCCATATTACAGCATTTTGATTTTTATTTTTAAGTAAACTGAAAATGTAACAATGAAAATCTGAATATTTCGCATTGTTCAAAAAATCCCTTAAGATACCTAAGGAATTATTACACATTAAACTAATCAACTTTGCCCCAATTTATCATCTCCCTATCTCTGACTTTTTCCATATAGCAATAGAATCATATCCATTTTGAAACATTTTGTAGATAAAGGAATGACATCAGCCATCAGTCATTAATGAACGAGATGCGCTTTTAAGGTAATAGCTCGGGTAACAGAAATAAATCAGCTGGGTTCGTGAGCATTACGTTATTTTGTTTTTTAATTTTTTCCACCTGTCATTATAAATGTGTTCAAAATTTAAATTATTTTATCATTTTGATAAGTACTGATAATTCGTTAATTAATTAATTAGTTGATTACTATTTCGATTAACTAAATTTACATATGTAGAAACATAAAAGAGCAACGATAAAGAGAATTAGAACACATTCCTTTGTAGAATGTGGTAAATTTTTTCAGTGGCCATTAATTAACAGAAGAAATTTTCAATTTGTTGATAAAAATTATTTTTATATGAATAGGAAAGAAGGTCGCTTACAAAACAAAATGACTGTGCATATTTATATGCAATTATACGATAGCTATTATCTAATTGATACCGTGTTATGTCTAAGAGAAGGTATCAACTCCTAACAACTATAATTTACTATGCAAATATCAAATGAAACAGTTCCATAGTATAATTGTGAATTATTACATGCCCATTGATAAGTCACTTTTTCTATTACTCGAGCCAATAATCACCAGGAGAATCCGGTAAGATAAGGATGTTGTGATCCGAACACTCGAGTTGCGTTATATCTAAACGTGTATGCTTCCGGGTCGTTAGATTGTTATTTCCGTTTATTATAGAATTGCAAACTGCGCGCTACTATTCGCAGAATTGAACGAAACTTCACTGTAGATAAAAATAAAAAACCACGCAGTCTGAAAACACAATACGTCGGTAGTGGGTGTCTATATTTATTCCCACCGCATTTGGCCTTCTAGTAACAGAAAATTATTACCCTTTTGGTCAAAATTAGGTATACAGGGTGGTCCGAATTTTATGCATGAAACTTCGAGGGTAGATAGATCTCTTTAAAATAATATGTGTTTGCCTTATAAACATTGGTCTGGAACAGCCCCGTTTTAGAGATACAGGGTGTCGAAGTTCTTAAAAAAAAATTGATTTTTTGTTTATATCTCCGGAATCTATTAACCGATCTAAATAAAATTTGGTACAGATAATGTATGATAGTAGGCCTTACATTCCCTAAAATATGAGCTTTAAAGGTTCAACCAGTGGTGTACAACTGGACAGGGGTCACCCCCTTTTTTACAAAAAACCTACGCCACTGCATTTTTTACAAGTTATTGTAATGTATTTATATTCTAATGCACAAAATACGTAAAAAAAGTAACTTTAATTTTTTCCCTAAGATTCCCCGTTCTCAAGTTATTCAAACCAGTACTTGCCTTGTGGCTGACACTTCTAACCATAATATTACAAGAATATTTATGCTTATGCTTAAAAGTAAGTGCAATTTGTAAGCACATCAACAAAATTATTTACACTCCTTTCTAAACCACCTGTGAGGTAGTGTTCCTGGCGTGTTTTAGTTTTCCCTGGAGGCCTAATACTCTACAAATAAGAACAATTTAAATCAAAATAATAATCATATATTTACCAAGCAGCAGCAACTAAACAAGAAACAAAATTAACGTTACGTATTTACAACAATTGTATTACACTCGGCTTCTATTCGTTGCAGTAGTTGTGGTCTTGTATCTGTTGGAGTAGAATAAACTTTACTTTTCAGATAACACCAAACATAGAAGTCCAGGGGGTTTAGATATGTCAATCTGGCTGGCCAAGACACTGAACCCTCTGCATAATTATGGTTGACATTGGCATTTAGTCTTCTATCTATTCATCGACCCAAATAATTTTAATTACGCCATTCTTATATTATTCTCCCAGAATGCGCAGGAGCACTATCCATTGTATCCAGCTTTAATGGAACATCCTCTAATAGTTCAAATAGATGGTTTTCTAGAAAGTTTAGAAATGACTGGGAATTTAGACGGGTTTAGAAAGGTCCACAAACTTTATTGCGAATTATTCCGAGCCACACGTTCACAGAAAATTCGTGTTGAAAAGATCTTGTCCGAATTTCATGAGGATTTTCTTGTGACCAAATATGCAGGTTGTGAAAATTCACTACCCTTCGCCTTTGGTAAATGTACATTTATTATTATTTTGATTTAAGTTGTCCTTATTTGTAAAGATAGTGGG